TTTTAATTGCTGGCGCTGATGTTGTTTTCTTTGTACTATGGTCCACTTTTTTTTCTGAATAAAAATAATTAAATTATCGATGAACTCTTTTATAACGGGCGGGAATGCATTTCTATATGTATTCAACGTACTAGGGTTTTCTAGATCATTTTTGTTTTCCTGAACGAATGAACGTGAGTTTCAAAGTACACGTGTCAATGCTTCCCCAAACTTTCTAGGATATTTTTGTACAAGCTTTGTGATAGTGAAGTCATCATCTTTAATGCACACTTTTTTCAACCGTAATGCAATTTTGATGACCAAGTAGCTGGACGGATCTGGAGTCTTGTGAGTTTTCTCATGTTCTTCAGTAATCTCATTATTATCTTTTAAAAGTTCTTTTTTTCGTAAGTAACTATTATATATTACTTGTCACAATTCTTCGATTAATATGCTTTGCATGATTTCATCTGATGAATCTGCCATTCTAGACACTCACTGATCCAAAAGTTCCAATGATTTTGCCTTGTCATTGGTGTGTTCATCATTGCAGTTATATAACTTAGCACCTTTTCCTCTTCGTTTAAAGAAATGTCCTCCCTCCTTCTTGAAACAAATAGAACAAATATAACACGTTCTTTTACTGTTTGTTGACAGTTGAATAAATTGTCTTTTCTTAAAAACTGGACACACTTTTACACCACAACATGGATTATATACATTACGTTCCATGACTGACCATGAATGAAATGAGCATCTGCCACCTCTACTGAAATAATAACATTCATTATAACAAAATAAACACCTTCTCTTGTGAATTATGCTTTTTCCGATAGAAATGTTGCTTTTTGATCCTCTCGTATGTAGTCCGTCCTGATCAAAGTTAAAATGACTTGAGCATACGCCAAGAAATTGCAAGGCATAAGCATAATCACTCCTTTGTTTCAAAATCCCATCAACCATATCAAAGTCCAACTCCCAAATACCCATCATTTGCTTTATTGACCGAAATGTAAGATTGGAATATTTTTTGAGTTTGCCATCAATTACTTCTGTAATTACACATTGGTCGTTACCAAAATCAATGTGAATATTACTTTCATCGATATCATAATCTGAATTTTCTTTATCGGTTATTGATATATTACTAGAAAAGCTCTCCGAGTCATCCAGTTCACTCGATAACTAATCAATATCTGTGGGATCTTCTGCTTCTACATTCAACGACATCATCTGCACATACTCCTGCATAAGATGATTATCAGGAAAGAGATTAGTTACTGTGTTTTCATCAATGTTCTC